CCACCGCCGCCGCCACCACTGCTCCAACCACCACCTTGGCCACCGCCGCCGCCGCCTAATCCTCCCAGTAGGGCGCCCAAAGAACGCTTCTGCACACTATGCGCCTGACCACAGGCAATAAGTGCGGCCACAATGACCACAATACAAGTGAACGGTTTCATCGCAGCAACTAACTCCAGCCGAATTCGATATATCAATAAGCAAGATCAAGATCAAAACTAATGGCTCGGCTGCTGGCGCGCAAACCTTTATAGTCGCCAAAAAAACCAAAAGAAACTATATGCAAATTCAATAGACTATCATAGAGAGAAGTGGCTGAAATAGCGCCAATAGAACTATGCGCGCCAGCATAGCGTCTGATAAGCGCGGCAGGCGCGCGCGTTGGCAGGTGCGAGAAGGCAATACTGATTTGACTTCTTATCTATGACTTGAGATCCAACAATGCAAAAACAGATGGTGATTCAAGTGTATAATGATAATTCAGTTGTCCAAACAATAGCCAAACCAAAGCGCGGATAACGCGTTTGTCTATGCTTCAAACGCACTGCAACTTGGCACCACTGGCGCGTGGTAATCGAAGCCTCGAACTTGATTTGCTTAAATAGATAAATAAAAAACCAGAAAAAAATAAATTATGCAAAAATTTAAGAATATGTGCTGGAGTGAATATCCGATCTGCGATTTGTGAACCAAGCCCACACGGTTTTACGCTTAATTTGCTACAACCAGACATCTGCTGAAATGACAATGCGAACAGGTGAAACATTTGGGAGAAAAAATGTTTGACTGCAAACCAAAAATAACTTTTTGCAATTAAAATGTTTTCGCAATAAATTTTGCACGTCATTATCGCATTGAATTGACACTTGATTGACTTTCGTACTTAATATGACAAATTAACTTGTTTGAAGAGAACAAAAAGTAATTACAATTTCTAAACCAAAATTGTAATATAAATATATAAATAAAAAAACATTGCAAATAAGCACTAAGTCGAATAGAAAGTTGAAAATATTGTTTGTTAAACTAAAAATGTCTTGAAAGAATTTTACGAACATTTTCTCAATTTTTGACAACCATACTAGAGTGAGCAAAAAAATTTCAAGCTTTTTAACTTCAATTTCTAAAACCCAATTCGTATTATCGTTTTCGTATTATTTTTTTCTATATAAATTGGTATGACTGCCAGCGACATCAGTGCCAAATGTCCCATCAAAAGAATGATTAGGGTTTAGTATGCGGCGATTTTAAGTGAAAATATTCAACACAAAAGTGAAAATTTAGTGAAAATATTCAACAAATAGTTTCATTAAATTTTGCCAGCGGCATAAAATTTCTGCGGCGTACAGAATGTTGGAAAAGGCCTTTGGTGTTAATCGTTTATCGCAAGCAAGTGTTTTTTATTGGTACAAATTTTTCAAAGAGGATCGAGACGCTTTGACGACGAACCAAGTTCAGGACGGCCATTAACATCAACTGATGATCAATACGTCAATAAAATAGTAAAATTGTTGCTTGGGAATCAACGATTACAGTCAAGAATCTTACCGGTGTTATTAAAATATCGGAAGGATCAGTGAAAATCATTGTGAAAGATCATTTGGGCCTAAGAAAAACGATGGCACGTTAGGTTTCAGAATCACTCATTTTTTTTTTAAACAGCGTCATAGTAATGTCTGTGAAATAATGCTTTCCGATTATGAGGATGTCATTAAACGTATTATTACTGGCGATGAGTTCAAAATTCATTAAAATTTTCTCAACAGTTCGAGACAACAGCATTATTGAGCAGAGTGCCACAAGGTTTGTATGTATCAGAAATAAGAATCTATTCTTCCGATTTTGGCAATAACTCCACTACTAGTTACGCAGAACAAACATGGTCCTGTATCCCTACTTCTCTCTATCTTTCGATGTAACCAATACTCAATGCTCATTCATGCACCGACTGGATCTGTGACAAGCAGACTTACCCAGATGTTGCTTTAGCGATAAGTGCTGTGTTTCGGTGGCACTAGACCTTTTTGGAGTGTCGGGATTCGTTTATTTGCCCAAATGTTAAATTTAAATTCAAGATCAGTGGTTTATGACATTGTAACGGATCACTTGAGCATGCGCAAGGTGTGCGCGACGATGGTCCCAAAGTGCTCACCGGACAAACCCTGTACTAACGTAATACCTATATCTGATCGGTAAGTTTAGAAAAGAGGTTACGAAGAAAATAGAATAGCAGACACTTTAGAGATATAAGCTGAACGTGAACTACATATCATTCAGGAATATTTGGGTATGAGAAAGCTATGTGCAAAGTTGGTGCCGCCCGAAGTGTCTTTTGACCAAAAAAACGACGACTTGATGACTCCGTAGTGTAGACAACAGATGAAGCATGGTATCATCTCACTCCGAAGTTCAAACAACAGCCGTGCAAGTGGACTGCACACGATGAACCCGCTGAAAATAGTGGAAAAATGTAACAGTTGTCTGGCAAGGTTACGACGTCTGTATGAAATAATTTTTATTGAATAGATTGGTGGGCCGGGGACTTTTCAGTTGACCTGTTACCTCTATGAAGTTACGGCCATCTCAGACTTTTAATCGCTTCCTGCTTATTGAGAACAGATGTCGATTTGAAAGCTACTGTTTTTTTTTTGTTTTTTTTTTTTTCGAATCATAAAAATTAACCAGAATATCTTGTTAATAGTATTACAATAACTAGTATACAACAGCCGTTAATTGAAATAACAAATTACACACATGCGAGTATCTACAAAATATAAATCTTCAACGAAAACTGTCTGTAAATATACAAACTCAAGTCATAATTTGTTCAAGGTCAAATAAACACCAAACAAAACTACACTTTTCCGGATTATCACATCACTGTGTGTCTTTGGGTTAATAAAGCGTTGTGTTAAGCGTAAACCGGTTAACGCCACACATTGACCGTTAAACGTAAATGAGTGCCGCAACGTTAAGGTTTTCGGTCTTCGTTTGGGTATTTGCGCGCTGCAAATACAGAAAACGTGCTGTTAACTTGGCTGTGAAGAAGAGAGTGCAAAAAATGCAAGATCACAGACTATAAAAAACAATATCAAAGTGTTAAGCCAATGCATTTTATGAATGAAAATGAATGTAAATTAAATTTGTCACAAAATTTTGTATTGTTTTTGTTGCTACAATATCTTTACCGGTTTCACGTCGGCAGATGCGGGCCAAAAGAGCTGTCCATAAATAATAAGCTTGCCAAATTTGATTTGAAACTATTTTTTCATGTACATTTTAAAGCTATACTTTTCATATTTTTATTAGTAATCGTTATGCTGGGGTAAAGTGGGCCAAAAGTGATGAAAAAAAAAAGAGAAATTAAAAATATTACTAGTTAAAAAGTATAAAATTTATTATTAGTTATTTTTTTTTTACGTTGACAACTTTTCACACTACAGTCATCCTAAATGCATTCGATATAAAATTTTCTGTAGTGGAAGCAATAATCATTATTGAAAATTAAAAACGTTACCTACATTCTGGCGTATTTCCAAATAATTAATTATTAAAGTCACAAAGAATAGAAGAGTTTCAACTCTTTATTTGATCAGTTCAAAATTTTCTCCCAGCTTTAGAAGTAAATAATTTGCTAGTTGACTCAACTGTTAGCCAAAAGACCTTTAGGGCCTTTTCGTACAGCCAAACTAATTTAATACATTACGATATAAATTCAGTACTACTTGTTTAAAGATATTCTTGCTTATGTTCGTCATTTTGTATTTTTTCTAATGATTTAAATCCATCAGCTGATTGCTAACTTATCAATGCACACAACCACATGTATAGCCTGGACAACAACCCGCGGAGCTAAGTCAAATTTACAATGTGAACAACAAACTGCAAAGTCGAGATACCAAACGAGGTTTCAGACAAGGCGACCGCTTTTCGTGTGACCTCTTCAACCTACTTAAAAATTGAAATAATTCGAGCTACAGAACTAAACAGAGGAGGTACCCTCTTCTATAAGAGTGTACCGCGGTTGGCGTATGCTTTTTATTTTCTTCAGAATGGATGGATTATGCTTTCTTCATATGGATCTGGTAGTAAATGAAAACAAGACTGAATATCACACTCGTCATTATTGATAACTTCGAAGTTGTACATAATTTCGTCTATCTTAGCACCAGCATCAACAACAACGTCACCCTCGAAATCGAAAGGAAAATTGCTCTTGCCAACAGAAGAAATAAAGAAGTAAAGTCCTCTCTCGAACCAAACTCTATAAACCAAACTCTATAAGTCACTCATCCTCCCCGTCGTGCTACATGATGCAGAGGCATGGATGATGACAGCATCTGATAAGTCGGCGTAACTCAAGAGAAAGATCCTGTGAAAGATTTAAGGACCTTTGCGCATTGGTAACGGCGATTACCGCAGTCGACAGAACGGTGAGTTGGTCGATAAAGGACCGCATATCTCTATTAGACACTGTACTGGCACAAAAAACCCTCATACTGCGCTGTCTGCCCTTCAGTCAAGTGCATAATTTTTTTTGATAACTCCGACTTCAAATAAGCCGTATATTTATTAAGATCAATATTATACTTATGCATGTTTATGTTAATATATTCTTTATGTCTTTACACTATACACACATAATTAGCATATCATTGGCGAATAGCATAAATTCATAACTTTAACAATTAATTGATTGATTTTCGAAGCTTTTCGGCGCTTTTTGACTAAACTGCTCTTTTGTTTGCTCTTCGTTATAAATGTGTATGTTTTCTTATGGTTTTTTTGCGTGCATCTGCTCTTTGTCTTGGCTTTTAAATCAAACTGTTTGTTCTCTATGCAACCGCTGACCTTAGCGACGCTCAAGCTCAACACACCAATTATTCGTGGCTCAAAGCTTCGTCTGCAGTAATTTGCTTTGTCATTCATGGTAGACTCTTCCGTCGGTCTGCCAAGCGAATCTATGTTGATCATCAACAAACGAATGCAAGGTTTTAGCCACCAATTCACAGTCATGAGTTATAAATAAATAAATATATATATGAAAATGTGGATTTGTGTGAAGGGAAGTTAATGAGAGACTCTGTGTCGCCAAAGCATTTTCATTTGCTTCCGTCATGCCTTAGCCGGTTTAGTTAAGTAATTACTTAATATTTGTATT